CATTAACAGCTGCTGTAAACAAACTAATTAACAGATGGCGCTCAAATTTGTACCATATGTCAAGAAAGGGTGTACCAACATAACAAAAAAAAAAAATTTTGGAAAAGGTCTATTGCTTATGGAGTAGGTAACAAACAACAAAATCTTTTTTAAGCAGAAGGTAATGTAAAATTAATTTATATAAATCGAAAACTGCAGTGTCACGAAAATGATTAAACGTATTTATAGCTAGATTTTGATACATATCTTCGAAACGGATCATGTACAATTTCCTGAATACTTATACTGATACGGTCTTGCGCGTAATCCCAATTATATTTTTTGTTCATAATATAAGATACCAGATAAAATCTATCATTACTAATTGGTGAAGACTGCTGTTATTTCATGCTCATATGTATGATAGCTGCCAGTTAAGAGCGATACATTATCTTTAGAATGAAAAAGACGGTCACTATTGATCTATTGAAATGGAAACCTGCCTGTTGGGACTTCAAGAGTTTTTGAAACCACTTACAACAACAAAACTAGGAACAAAACGAATTTTTTAAAGAAAGACCGATTCGTTTGAACTTTTACAAGAGACTAATTTTATTTTTAATTTCATAGTATTTTATAATAAAAAAGGGTTGCCAACTGCAACCAAAAAATAAATAAAAAAAATATTCCAAATTAATAATAAATTTTAATAGAAAAATATAAAGCCAATCACGAACACTGCCTTTAATTCATTTTGAAATGGATGACCGCAATCCTTAAAGGGAGGATCTCTGGAATAAAAAACATAGTAAAAGCAGATAACATCTTTGGAGTTCGTACGGAATAAAGCAAGTTAAGTACTCTTGTAACCTGTCCTGTGATGAAATACCTTAACTGGTTGTACAACAGCTCTCAACAGATTTCGAATTCAACATGATTCGATGTGGAGTCTTTTTAGTCCGTAGTTATATATGACTTAATGAGTTATACATAAATGGGGGGTACAAATGATATGGGATATTTGCATCCACCAAAAAAAATTTTAAGGCTTTAAACTATATAATAATTTTGTAAATTTCGAATGGATGTAAAAAATTTTTCTTATCTAAGCAGTTTACATGAAAGATAAATACTTTCATCCCATCTGCAAAATTCAACCGTTTCTTGATGACTTCATCAAGAGCTTTGGCAGAAAACAAATGAAGAACAAATCAGTTGACTTAACACTTTTTCCAATCCATCCAAGAACCAATCTCATCGAAAATGTATCGCGGTTATTTGTAATGTTATGTGACGTATCCGATGTTAATCGGTTAGTAATTTTCATTATTATTAAAAGATTTGAATTAAAATATTTACGTTGCACATTTTGTTACATTGTATCTACATAATCCATTGAGTTGTCGTATATTGAAAAGCACTTTAATTTTGGCAGTTTCTGTTATTTTTCTTTAAGTTATTTTTGAAGAAATAATATGTAAATTTAAATCTATTTTTGAGTAGCTTAAGTTTAAGGGAAAAGTTATTTCATTCGTTGATATGCTATGAAGTACAGACTTAGAAAACATATAAAAAGTTTTTTAATTTCCAACAAGTAAAAGATTTTAAAATGGAAAATATAAATGTGAAGTATTGAAAAGAACTTTCTCTGTTTTTATAAGGTTTTAATGTTGACATAAAATAAACTCATGTTAAAAAAATAATAATAATTTACATATTCACCAATTCAAATTCTTTTGTAAAAATTATTTTGTTGAAAGATACTTAAGTTTTTAATACTCAAAATTTTAAAGTCTACTTAACACATATCCCACCAACAGCTGCTTAATTTGCAAGCTAATGTATATAATATGATGATTAATACTATATAATAATTTTATAAAAAAATCATTAAAATTTTTAAAATTATTAAAATTTTGCCGGTGTTTTAAAAACACCTTAACCAAATTATATCAAATTTTTTTTTTAATTTTATTTTCTTATATTGCGATCTGTCAATTCGGAGTAGACATTAAACAATATTTAAAAGTGACTAAATACTTAAAATTTTTGTGAGCTTGAAAGGACTGTGCTCAGTAGTACATCCGTCTGTTGGAGTCGGACACATTAAAGTTCCTGTGGCGTTTGTTTGCGGAGGCAAACAATTTGAGTATAGCTTTATCGATAAGAAGTTTATTTTCGACTGAGAGTTTTGAACTTTTGTTCAGTATCCAATAGAGCTCCCGCAGTCTGGTGATTGTCATCTGTGGCAATTATTACAGTATCATTAGCAAAAGTTCCAATGTCAGTACCAATGGTGGTAGGCAATTCGTTAGTGAAGAGTAAGTATAACACAGGTCCCAAGACACTGCCTTGTGGTACTCCAGCCTGAAATGGCTGCAAAGTTGAAATTTTTTTTAAGAAAATGTAGTTATTAGTTGGGAGCATCTTTTTAAGCTTGAACAATAGACCATTATGCCAAACTTTTTCAAATGCCTGGGATATGTCCAGAAATGCTGCTGTGAAGAAACCCTTTTGTCAAATGCTGTGTGTATTACATTAACCACTCTGTGTACTTGCTCTATTGTACTGTGCTTTTTTCTAAAACCAAACTGATGTTCCGGAATTAGTCTCCTTCTATTGATAATGGGCATTAATCTGGTAAAAATAAATTTTTCAACTTGGAAATAACCGGTAGAAGACTAATTGGTCTATATGACTTAACATCTTTATCCGTTTTTCCAGGTGTATGCTAATTTGAGCTACCTATATCAAATATGTGAAATTTCTTGTGATAATCTAGTTCAAAATCGCTTTTGTCACTTCTTTAAACTTAACTTATTTTGAGTTATCATGAAGTCATTGAACCGTTTTTGCGACGACTGTTGTTTCACTAGACGCTTATATATGTGTCGGTAACTCCTTATAAAATTTTTAATTCTTAAAGAATTAGTATCGATTCCAAGAAAATAACATTATTATTTATAACAAAGTTGGAGTCCTGTCCATAGGCTATCTGATGTCTATCAGCTGTCAATCATAACAGATATCAAATACATACATAACCGATAACTCCTTCTATTAAGCTCCAATAGCATATACCGCACAAAAAAAAATTACATAAAAACAATCGCACAAAAAGAAAATCATACCTAAAAATATCGCATAAAAGCTGGTTTTACTGAATAGTGTTTTCTGAAGATACTTCTTTTATCAGAGACGACAATAGAGATTTAGATATATAAATGGCTATGGTTTAGGTGACGGTTGTTATCCATATCTCTTTTTGTTAGTACATAATAAAAAGAAAATTATTTTAAAGTTATTTATTAAAAGTTTTTTAAGTATTTTTATTTTGGTTGAAGTTCTTTCAAACACCTGGATTTTTTGTATACAGCTTATACAGCTTTTTCGGGGGACTCACCTGCTGAAGTTAACTGAAAGAACCACTCTGTAAACATTTGAGTATAGGTGAGAGCACTTCTTTTTTTAAATACATATATGTTAAGTTGAAAAAGGGAGTTTTTAAGAAAAACAAGAACAACCAATACGAGCCCAAAAACTGTATTTTAAAAAGAAGACCACAAATTTGTATCAAAAACGATGTTGTCTTGTGTGATATAAGGTTTAATTTGCATGCACAAAATTAATTTATTTAAAATAATTGAAATTTAATTTAATTTATATGATTAAAATTCAATTTAATTTAATTCATTGAAATTGAATTTAATTTTAATTTTCGAAATAGTTCACTATCAGCTAAAAATTTCAGTTTTCTATACTATATATGCAGAATTATGAAATCCTGAAATTTCGCAAGTTAATTATTGGTAATCCACGATAATAAACACACTTGCAATGTATAGTTTAATTACTTTATTTAATGACTTTTAGAAGTTTTCTGAGATTATTGTAATTCATACTAAAATGCAAACATTTGTGTCTTTAGGTATTTATGGGACACTTAATACTGAATTAATGCAAAACAACCTATGACTTTGAAACCTGGAGCGTGTGTGATGGGAACGAAGAAATATTTCACCTGTTGTTCTATTTTCGTCATTAGGAATTTTCTTGAAAGCAATATTTCACATTTAATGGGCTTGGGCAAGGTCTAATGTATTCAACAAACGATTATTTTATGTTTATAAGAGTTAAACAAAATATCTATTTTAGTGAAATACTTTTCAATTTTATAAAAATAGAAAATACAATAGAAATTAAAATAGAAATAACAATTTATTGAACTTAATTAAAAATTTGTTTTTTATTAAATATATTTAGTAAAGTTTAAAAATTAAGTTTGAAAGTTTTATTAACTACTGAAATTAATATTTTTAGTCAAGCTACGATAATATTCGGTACATATATGCATATTTGAGGAAAATGTATGCACCTAAAAAAATACTAATTTACAATGACATGTTAACCATAATGAAACATCTGTTGCGGTAATGTGCCTAAATAAACACTAAATTCAATGAAATAATAATCATAATGAAACATAGACTGCGGTGTATGTGCCTGAGTAAATGGCATAAGATAATTAAGTTAATTCTTGATTATCAATTCATATATATCTAAGATAAGACTGCAGATACATGTTCGTACTGGAACAAAAGCAGGACAGAGCGTATTCGTAGGAAATAAATTCTTAAGAATTTACTTCTGTATTTTGGGTTAGGGGATAGAAACGTTAACTGTTAACATATTATCCGCTTTAATTTATTTTGCTAAAATTACACACAATTTCTGAATGCATCTAAGAAAACTTGAAATGGCTTTGCTGAAGTTGTCAATCAGATACTTTGTGTTCAGTAAATCATCTACTAGACTAAGTAAACAAATTAATTAGAAAATTATTAACTATACTATGGAATAGAAAGAAGCACGTGTTAGATATTTATGTTGTTTACAATCTTCATAAATATAATGTTAAATTTAAATTTTTATTTAAGAATAAATGAAAACAAATTACTTTTAGATGTAGAAAAATATATATTTAACTTTAATCTCTGTTATTTTTTTTGCTAATTTTCCAGATGATTGTTCTACCATTTATACCAATATTGGCACTGATTGTGCAAACATCACTGATACTGCACGATGTTCTCGATTACAGAGTGGAAGTGGCGGATATTGAGACGCAGGTAAGTTCTGCATTCGATACCCATGAGTTGGGTCAATGGAACAAAGAGACTACAATTTCAAGTAACAATTCTTTATACTTTATCTTTCTTGTGGAAATATAGTAGATAAATTGTAATTAAAATTTATTGTTGCAATTCAATCATGCAACAAGTACGCAGCGCAAACCACAAATCCATATCAGAAATCGAGTGAAAGGACTGTGGAAATAAACTCAATACAATAAAGACACAAGCATGCAAAAGTAAATGGAGTAGGGAGACCCAATGGTGTATGCGAAAAAACATTGCCAGCCATTGTGTTGGCAAACTGCTTTCCCGTCAATAAATATATTCATTCATACTATACAGAAAAGGAAGAAGATGTATAAATATTTACGAAAGGATGAGATAATTTTCATTACTTTTTCCTTATTTTTCTATACAGCACCAAAGCTAAATGGTAGAACAAATGTAAATAAAACGGGGAAAGGTTACCATAAATGAAGCAATTATGAAAACTCAAGACAATAGTCTTGGTTAAAGGATTCCTTTATAATTTTATCTTTAAACAATTTCATAGTTAGTTCACAGTTCAATGCACTCAATATTCAGTATTTCAAGCATGAAGTATTGGAAATAATAATTAACCGTCTCAATCCTTAAACCTTGACACAACCAGACACAATCAATCAATTCATCACATTATTTGGGGTCAACAATGGTGTAAGGTTTGGTGTTACTGTCTTCCAAAGCAAAGAAGCAACAAAAACAATATTTAGGTTTCTTAATAACGCAACCACTTGTATAGAAAACTTAGACAAAATGGTTATACTGTTGTCATTCTACATTTGTTCGGTATAACGTACTTCAGTGACACTCTACAATCATAATTGTAATAAATATTTTAGGAAAAGGGAAACGTTTATTAGTTTAATGAAATAAAGTTTAATGAAATATTTAATATTAAGCGAAACTTGCTTAGTTTCGTACATTATCACGGAACTTGAATCGAAGCCTTTAAGAAATATATGTAAAGCATATATAATCTTATAAAAATAAGTAAAGAGCGAGAAATATAAGATATTAACAAACACTAACAAATGATAACAACTACTGTATATCATTAACTAACAGTGCAATAGGTACTTTCAACTCACTTTTGGTTGTTCTTAATATCGCCAATACTTATAAGTTGTAGTTTCTAGGCTTCATTAATAAATAAAAATCCTTAGGGATAATAACACAAAAGTTTCATTTGCTTTACTATATCATATCCAATAAGTAAATGTACAGATGTAGTTGGAGTCTTAAGATTCAAATAATTTTTCAACTTAACTAAGCTCTACAACATTTATACATATGATATTCCAATGTTAGGTCCCTCGACTCTGGCGTTATATGATAACGACAAGTGTATGCTATACTCAGATAAATATGCTCTCAACATAACCAATACACTTCAAGAGCATATAAACCTCATTCTGGATTATTTCACTCTGCAAAATAAAAATCAATAATGAAAAAACTGAGGTTCTGTTTATTACGCGTTAGTAGAGACAGAATCCGTCGAGAGTGAGAGTAGGAGATATGGTAATAAACTGGGAGGATAGCATTAAATATCTAGGCCTTACGGTTAACAAACGATTCACAGGGATTAAATATGTTGCTTAGTCTGATGAAGTGATAAACAATAATCCAATCAATTAATCCAAAATTATTGTGTTCTGATTTAATAATATTCAATTATATTATATGATTTCGTATTACAATTTATCAACGATATAGAACTTTAAAG